ATTGACACGGGACATGCAGTGGGAATCAGTCACACTTTCAAAATAATACATATACATACACAGAAAACCATGGCAACTTCATTTCACAGGAGCCATTGCTATCTGAAGACTTTAATCCAATCTCTGTATACAGAAAGATAGCGTGACATATCCGTCACTACCCTGATAGCTGTAACTGTTTTGTTCTGTTGAAAAACATTCCACTCAATCTTGATTTTCACTTACTGAGTTGAACTCAATATTGAGTCTCCAAATTCATGTAATTGTTTGTCTCTATCGTAATTTTACTTTACTCATCCCTCTCACCGTATTGAACTTTCTGTCGCAATGCATACAGAAACTCACTCTGTTGTCCGATCTGCTTTCTGTCTCCAGTCAATCCTTGTTTCCAAGTGAAATCTCAATTTTGCTTTCCTCGTGTCCAGTTGCACTATAAATATTTAGTTTTTTTAACAATGAATAATTTGTCTACTCACATAACTTTTCGAGTTATGTTGCTCATACTTTCTATCTATCTATGACTCGATGTCACTGTAAGAAGAGTATTTTTCGTAATTTTGTAACTTAAATTTTGATGCTGTTTAAGATGTATACAGTTGAAAGGAAGGAATCCACAGACTGGTATTATCCTGCAAATATGTTCATTCGTTCTTTCTTTGTTCAAATACTAGTTTGTCTTCAAGTGGTCTCATTCGACAGTAATAAAAACGATGGCAGAATCCACAAATTCAGCACCTAGTTAAGACATAAATAACTTTATCTCCTGAATAAAGTTTATTTATCCACCATTCATTTGCTAGAGGAATCAGTATTTATGAGTTCAGTTATTATTTTTGTTGCTAACTAAAAGCAGCGAAAGCCCTTTTTATGTTTGGTGATGTAGCACCTAAAGCTGAATCTAGTTTAGCAAACACACGTTAATATAATCGGATGATGAATACAATCGGAACTGAAACCTATTTGGTAGAAGGATGGCAACTGCTCGGAAGACTCAGTGATCAAGACGCCCGTAATGCACAATTCTAACAAAATTAATTCACATCCCAAGTTAAAATTTGCATTAATAAGTGAACTAATCGAGGGTTTTATCACAGAGCTGTTTTGTATCACAGTTGACTCTAAGTTTGCAACTATTTATTTTTTTTATTTTTTATTACAGCTTGATTCCACACTCTATTTTTGGTACAAGTATGGAATTTTTAGCATGGATATCAGTAGCCCGAATTTTGCAGGCCGACCATAGATATCAGGTGTGCATCGGTAGGGGACCGAACCTCGGACCATGTGCATGGTCGGCGAGAGTCCTAACCACTGTGCCACCGACGCACAGGCCCTATTGATTGGTGTCAACAAATACAAAATCTAGATTCAGGTCTCTTAATTGATTGGTTCCTTTCAATACGTCGTATCAAGTTACAGTGTATCACACTAAGCATTAATGTCCTGTCACACTCAGCGTAATTACCATAATACACATACATAGATTGGGATTTCACACACAGTGGATGAGAAGTAGCAGACTTCCCTCTGGTCAAATGGCACCTGATGAAACGGTTGATTTGCCAAGTTTTGACCATCAGTTGACATAGTTCAGCAAACTAAAGAAAGCTAAATAGCACAGAAAAACAAATTATCTTACCTAGGGGTCTTACAATATTATAGGCCTATGACTCTGTATAAAATGAGTGCGTCTGTAGCTAACATTGATGTTTTCAAATCAAATACCTTCATGGGGAATTAGGTGAATGCACATAGGTCGTATATCTGATATACTGTTTCAATGTAACATACGTATAAAAATATATAGTAGTCCTGAATAACTCAGTAGAGAATATGAAAGGGATTATATGACAGTCCTGTACGTGCTATTGTGTAATAATGAAACGGGAAGCTGATTGCAACCCTAAATGTTTAGCTGTAATAGCTATGAGTGATTCATATTCAAATTTTTTGAGGACAAGAAAGTCTTATTGACTACTTCCAAACGGTTAGAGAGCCTAGATCTATGGCTTCCAGTGGATTACTTGCAGTCGTTGAACTTTAGTCTAAGAATTGTATTAACTTCTCATAACAATGACTAGTTGTAGGCTAACTGAATAAACACTACATGAAGAATAATGAAGATTGGAAACGGTTTATAATTTCAGAAGAACGAACATAAGGAATGTATAAACATGGGTATACACAGGAACTCAGCTTACACAGACCAAACACTCAGCTGCAACACAGTGGTAATTCAACAGCACACAAAAATTACTATGTACAGGTAATATATTCAAAAGAGGTAGAATACACTGCAGCACTCCAGTCCTAAGAAGAATCGAAGAGAAATATCAATTGTCTACGATGAAAATGGATACCTCTACAGTTACACCCAGAAAATTCTAAACTCGAATCAAATTGGCGGCAAGAAACCATCCTCAGAAACCACAAGAAAGTCCATCCTACCGCATTATTTATTTATTTAAACACAAAAGCTTGGTGCAATATGGCACCAAGAAGATAGGCCTCACAATAATAATGAAACAACAAATATTAGAAGCAAAATATAGGTGGAGAACGGATAAATAACTTCATGTAGAAAGAAAACAGTTACATTCATCATATTCAAAGACCATTCGTCAATTATCTTAGGGAAGGGCAGAAAGAAGGAAATTGCAGCACGTTCGCAATTGCTTACGATTCTTGACCATATCCGATAATGTTTCCAGCCATCGGTTCGAGATACCTATTGAACTCCAACCAGGGAGTCGTGACATACCAACCGATGTCAACCTAACATAAATATCCTTCATCCCACGACGTCACATGTCATGGGCTGACCACCTCTCCGCCTTTTCCATCCCATTCCAAGGCTAGCAAACAGAGATCTGTACAGAAGCCTCTGGGGTGACATTCGCAAAACATGTCCAACCAACCGAAGCCGGTGTTTCCAGATGACGACACTCAACGAATAGCAATCTCCTGTGTGTTCAAACACAAGCCACCGGACCTCAGAATTACTCACGCGATGGTGCCATCGAACTCAAGCGATCCTGAGATGACCGAATATGCAGAGCCGCCGCACATTCTCAGCTCGGAAAGACCAGGTTTCATACGCGTAGACCAAGACAGCCAGCATCAAGGCATAGTATACCCGACCTCCGGTAGCAAGGCTGATGTCGCGACGGCGCCAGAGGTGGTTCAAGTTAAGGTATGCCATCCTAGCCCTTATTATACGGTTGGAAATCTCATCCGTTACACCTCCGCCAGCATTCACACAACTACTCAGATACACAAACTCATCAACAACTTCAAGTGGTTCACCTGCAATAGTGAGTGCAGATGCAGGCTCCTACCAATTTTCTAACAGTACTTTGCACTTAGATAGCGCGAAGCGCATACCAAACTTATAGACACTGATTAAATGCGATTTGGGCAGCCTGCATGCTATCACACAGTAAGACGATATCATCTGCGTACTCGAATTCGAAAAGTCTATCTCCAGGGAGAACACCTACACCACCTTCACGCACATCCTTCACAGCTGACTCCAGAATGTCATCAATGGCAAAGTTAAAGAGAAATGGAGAGATCGGGCAACCCTATCTAACCCCACAGTTGGCTGGGAACAGTGATGATATTTGGTTGTACCCCTCACTCAACCTAAAATGTTTCTGTTTCGGGCTTTCAGGTTGTTCACGAACTTGTCAGGTACACTCCTCTCTAACAGACAGTTCCGGAGCACAGTTCTGTCCGATGAATCGAAGGCAGCCCTAATATCAAGAAACAACGATTGTTGGCCTGCAATACATGTGGCGGTGTTCCAACAACTGACGAAGGGTGAACACATGATCAATGCATCCACGACCCGAACGAAGCCCAGCCCATATATACATGTTTCTGAAGTAGCGGCTAATATACTGAAACCGTCCGGAATAGATACCACACGAAAAACTAACGCAATCACTCCATCCAATACCATGCGCGGCGAAAAGCACAACAGCAACAAAGAAGACAAGATTAACACCATCTCCAAAATAAATTGCATGGGTTATGATAAGCAGTATATCGGTGAGAGTGGGCACCCCTTTCGTCTCCGAGTTCAAGAACATGTAAACTAACCATCAAACGACATGACATGTATCGTCCAACATCAATGCATGTAAACAACCATGGACATCAATATGGTCGGGAAAATGGAGAAATCTTAATCAGTGTGGAATAGTGAGACTACCTGGGAATTCCTAGAAGTCTTGTATTCAGACGCATCAACGAGTTAAAGATGCATTATAATAGATTAAGTTTATCAGCTAACTGAGAATAATCCGCATAGTAAAAATAGTCAAATGACAGGTCAATAAAAACAATCAATACTGATGCAAATAACAACCAATCACAACAAAGGTTGCCAGGAGATACAATGATATCATTCATGAAGAATTCAAATAAGTTCACTTCATATTAGAGCTTGCGCTGAAGATGCTGGCTAAAGGAAGAATGACAGGTTCGCAGTTAAACTAACCAGCACCATCGATTATACATATACATATATATATATATATATATATATATATATATATATATATATATATATATAATCTGTGGAAAAAAATGAAACATCGCGAGTAAAAATTATCCTTTGTTTAAAACAGAAGAAACATGTTACGCCATTCTTATAACTGTATATATTTCGCATTTCCTTGTAATTTAATATATCAAACATAGTACATACTCGTGCATTGCATAAACGCGTCAGAAATTTTGACTAAGGAAAACTGGTGTTTCATTTTTACAAACGAAACAGCAATTTAGACCTACAGATATACACAACACCATAAAATGTAGGGGATAGGAGTATTATTTTAGAAATTTAATGAATAAAACAGAAATATACATGTATACAAAAAAATATAGTATATGCATATCACACCTGTGTGTGCTTAACAAAGTCAAAATAATGTGAACATTAACGAAGTTATTTTTTAAGTTAAAAGAAAACCACAGTTAGGCATCCAACTTTAATTATTAGGCACTGATATCACCAACCATGAAAGAAAAACATAAAATAATACAATTGGATAGACAGAAAGAGCAACACGATTCTTTGGTAATGTTGGATGAACAAATATAAATGATGCATATGAAGAGTAAATTAGGCCAGAAATGACAATCAATAGTCTTATAATGAAAACAAGTAATGAATTTGAACTTGTGAGTGAAAGTACTCGACAGATAACTAAACCAATTACAAGTGGTAGAATACAATAGCCCAAAACGCATACAGTCTGAAGGAATGACCTTTAAAAGTAAGAAAGAAAAAAAAGAAGAGGAGGAGTATGGTAAATTTAATTCAAGTTACTAATTTTATCGATGTAACTGAACAATGAGGTTGTAATTCACACGCTAAAAGATGACCTACGCTACTCCACAAGAACACATAATTTATGCAGAAAAAATGGAGTGGTTAAGTGAATCCGTCACTTTATTTATTTCGAAGTGTATTGCAGCTAATCGGAAAACGATATAGCAAGCTAGTGACCTGGTATCGACTTATCTTTATTTATTTAAACCCAGAAAAAAAACTTGGTACAATATGGCACCAAGAAAGATACACCACACTTGTGTGAGGGCTGGGATACTGCCCGGACACCCAGACCAAAGCAGGTGGTTTTCTTAAGGGACCACCCGCGAGCCTTTGACTTGGAGTCTAATCTGCAAGGCAGCGGAGCAGCGTCAGGAGCTGTATTCCCATGGTTGCCCGTGACCCATATGGGTTCATACGCCATTTGATCCCATTGGACTCTGGAGCCCACGTACCCCACGGTAACTGCTTTTAGTTTAACCGCTATCCAAACAACTTTCCTGACATGGTAGGACCTGCAGGGACATGAGTCCCAGCCAGTTTAGCTTGTTGGGTCACTGCGGTATTCAAGCCCGACCACCACGGCAAGGTATCAGTTGTCGACCGGGATCGACTTATCTACTAGAATACATAAGATACACTTAGTGTGTGTATTATTATGATATCACCCAGTTGACCTTAGTAAATGAATAAATAGTTTAAGCTTTGAATTCACGTACAATTACACGGAAATGAAGCACTTAAACTTAAGACGCAGTACACCTATATCCAGCAGACTAATTCCTAGCAAAACGTCAATACCAATGGATAACAGCAAAAGAGAAAATTAAAACAAGTGAACTCTTGTCAATTACAGTGACTAAGAAGTCTATTCTGCATATTGGATAACAACCTACTTTAGTATATATATAAAGAAGAGTTAGTGAAATCGATGTCTATTAATGTAGGAAATTGTAGTTAATCCAGTAAGGATCAATCAACACAAGTGAAATTGACTTTTAAAAGTTAAGGCATTCAAGCTTAGAATTTTCAATACATTATTGTTATTATATATATCCAAACCAAGTTCACTTTTAACGGTTTGAAAAAATTTGGGCATTGGGTATATGATATTCATTATAATAGAGGTTTTTTGTATTTCCCAATGAATGAAAAAAAAACAATCTCGTTTTGTTTTTTCATTCATTGGGAAATACAAAAAACCTCTATTATAATGAACATTATTGTTATCACTGTTATTTTAGTTTCATATCGCCAGCTCATTTCTCCTCCTTTTGTTATCCCTTTTGTTAATTTCCCCTAGCTCTTTTAACCTGATATACGCAGTAACTGTAGTAATTATACCATACAGTAGGCAGTTGACCTCTGACTGTTAGGTAAAGCCAGTAGCATCTAGTATTGTTTACAGAACACAAAACCTATGCTCATTTAGATATTTATTCTAATTAACTGAATCACTGATCTCATCAATTTTAGAAGACTTTTGTCAAGACTTTAAAGGACAAGAATTTAATGTTACAAAGAACTGAAGAGCCGGTAACTTGTAATACAACTACCACCGTTTTTGTAAAATAAATGACTTTACAAACTTAAAAAAAATAGCAAGGTGGCAACACTTACACTGCACCACCAAGCAACTTCGAGTTTAACGTCACAATCGCTGAACCAAGCCAAAATATGACGAAAACTTGGGCGAATTCTGGTCCACTGTGTTCAGAACCTTCTGCATTTGAACTATGTAACAGTCTAAAAACCATTAAGAAGAAATCCAGACAAAATAATGAATATCAAGCTAATGTTGAAGGGGAGAAATAAATGGTAAAACAAATAATACAGCTTATGTTAAAAGATATAGTGTGAATGTATACGAAAGCAGTAGAACAGAAATACAATTTCATGGAATTCATGATTGCCAACAGCCAACAGGCTTTCAGACTACTTGCACATTAGTGAATTCACCAAGTGACATATTATCAAATGAAACATTCACGTACACATCGAAACAGCATCCGAGAAACGAGAGAAAAGAGGGATATTTATGAGTTTAGAAAGTAAAATCCCTCAGCGGGGATAGGCGACAACAGTTGAGATTTAGAAGACGATAAAGAATGAGTGCATCTGAATAATTATGAACAGTATCACCAAAAGTCTCTTTACTGATCTTTCTAATGTGGTCTAAACTAAAGAACAGACTTTATGGATGTGTCATTTTACAGTCTCACCACCAACCTTTTGCTAACTTATTTGACATTTCTCAATGAAGTAGGCAGATGATGACAATATGTAACACATTCCCTGGCCTCTCACGCCTTAACATGCGGAGTTTAAATATCTCAGCACAAGGAGTTGCTGATCATTATACACATTCTTCAATAGTTAATCAGACATCTAAACATACTCCGAAGATAACAGAAGTCAGAAAATGTCAAAGTAGGCTTATGTGTTTGTCATCACGACTACTTCGGCAGAACACAAATACAAATAAATCTAGCGGAAACCTCTGACATTCAGCGACCAAAGAGCGGGTTACACTTACTCAGGCTTTAGTTAAAGTTTAAAAGACTGCATTCTGTCAGCATCAGCACTCCGGTGAAGTATATGCCTTGCATACCTTCAGTCAACTACCGATACGAAGTTAGTATGGTGGTGACCATAAATACAAACAATACTTAGTATTGGGGCCTGACCTTCATTGTCTTTCTCAGTAACTTCAGGTAAAGATGTGCTGTCAAAATTCCAAGCCATTGTATAGAATACATTGAGAGGTTCGTGCACAAATAACTAACAAGATATACTACATATATTATTATGCTGGGAACGTCCCGTAGAAACGCTTATTAGTTTAAACAACTTCTTTTGGGTTGTGTCCTAAGTGTCTGCACAAGAAAAGTTTTCTCACCGTCTCCAAAAAGAAGAGGTTATAGCGAAAAGCCCAATATTATATTTCATTTGGAAAGACTTTAGTAAACGTCTCCTCCAGGAACAAATACTGGAAAGATTTTATTATTTCCTTTACACAAGAGAACCTTGAGTGTTTTCACTAGCTTGCTGACTGAATCACTGACAAAACAGAGTAGGTGTTTGCACAAAAGTGAATTAGTTTAAGTTGCGACACTTCAAAGGAATTCACCACCTACACAAAGGAAATCTAATAAAACTGCAGTGGACAAAGACATTCCAGAGACTTATTAGATGGACACTAATAAAATATTCCCAGATTCGAAGATGACAAACAGTGAAGACACCTTCGTCATCGTAAACCATTTCAATCAATATTAATTCATTTCAATTTTTCTGATTGGTTGATTGGACCGGCCACAGCTGATATGTCGGCTACTAGTGAAGACACTCCAATGATGTCTGAGAATTTAACTTAAAGTAATCAACGGGGAAATCTAAATGAAGTCAAAAGTAATAACTGAAACGCGTCGCACTAAAGGTTTATCTATTGGCCCAAGTGTTCTAGTGGATAACCTTTTGGCGTTTGAAATGATGGGTACTGAATTCGGGCCTCAGCGGGAGCTTCATCGCTCACTGGAAAATGTCGGTAAATCCAGATGAAGAGTCCCAAATACTACGAAATGCGCATCGTGGATCCCGCTAGCCGCCACCCATCGAAATACTTCATTTGAATTAATATCACTAACAACCATTCTTACCATCCCGACAACCCAAGACAGACACTCTTCAAGTCGTGTGCAACTTAAGCTAAAAATCAAAAAATCAATGCGTTGGTGCAATGTATCCAAGTAAACACCTCTAATTTTCCGAAACTAGTCATTTCTAATTAATATTCTACGTCGAAGAAGACGGTGGCTCGGAATACAAAATTCATATTGCCTCTATTGCAATCTATGCAGCCCCACAATCAAATCGATTGACCTTGCCTTCACAGCTACCATTCAACGCTTAACACTGATACATAAAATGCTGGGTTCATGTAAAATACACAAGTGATTTTCCATTCACTTTCTAAGGTCATCGCTCATAACCGTTTAGTAAGATAGGACAAAATACAGCACAGTATGCGTGCCTTTGGATAAGCAACAGGACGCCATATCTGTGACACAGATGGAGCAACTCCACTAAGGTCAAACGAAACTGTTCTGGGGAGTCAAATCCAAAGCTATGAAATAAAATGAGAACATTTCTCACTTTGATTGGTACGCATGATTCTTTGTATAAAGTCGTACGACCATAAGTAACTACGTGCTAAGTGCAGTATAAACGTTTGAGAAGCAGGCGACATCTGCACTGCCATTAGTGAACAGGTAAACAGTGCTTCGACTATTTTCCAGATCAAAATTGCATAGAAACCGTAAAACCATCGATAGGATTAAGGTATACTGACGTGTTGCGTAAAACAGTCTTAATATGATGATGGACTGAGCAACATCGAATAATAAATTGGCAAAAGAGCACTATGATTTAGAAAAACCAGAGTCATTGTAACTTTGGTGGTTGTACTGAAGTTAGTACTAAAATTGATTAGAATAACAGTTGGAACTGTCGTCAAGATATTATTCTTTTACATTACCTGGGACGCCATACTACAACTGTGGAACACTTCCGAAAACCCTGCTCTATATTTGCACTGTAAAATGAAACATTATGGTATATACTATGATATTTATAAATATATCATATCAGTGTTTATGGAGGCCTTTACACCACAGTAACAAAAACGAATTTAAGTAAGCTTACGTAGACATAATCAGGCAGAGAACCAATGGGCCCCAGAGATCCCCTGGAAAACGTCAGTAATTTATATTAGACCTATGGAATTACACCTACATTCCTTCAGTAATCCTTGGCCCTGGCGTGGGACTAGAACATACGCGAATTTTTGACCGACGGCGCGCGCTGATCTAAGCTGTTCAATACAATAAATAAGGGGCTGCAGTTACAATTGTGTCACGAATGGGTTCATCAAGTAATGTCAAACTTTCACCAGCATACTGTTCACTATCAACGATATGACCTTCCAGCATGGCAGATCCCAAGTGCTACGATAAAAGGTTAATTAATATTTGTGTATACTTGTCCTGACGATTGAAACTCTAGCATATAAACGACTGAGTCTAGGGCCCGTGTAGCGAAAACCAAACTAGCCGCCTTTCGATGACCTCAGATTGACCTTAATTACACGACGCAATACCAATTCAATTTTATACGATAGAAAAAACGGATGGGTGTCTTCTCCCCATTATAGCATTTCTGTGGTTAAAAGTAGTTTCTGAAGAGGTTGATTATTTGATCCTGAAAAAGATAACTAGACAATAAACGTAGGGTTAATAGTAGCAATGCATAAGACTGATAGCAAAAGCAAAAGGTTGTGGACTAACAAGATAATAACAGTGGAATAGGAAAATCCGCGGTAGACTCATAGAAAGTGACCGGATAAAGACGCAGACATGGTAAACAATTCATGTATCGATTCAAGACAACTGTCTGCAGCGTTGTATGGAGGATCTTGTCCCAAATTGATCAAATTGGCAGTCACCTGCTTTTTGAACTACCGCCCGATAGGGCCACCAGGATAGAAACCCCAATGTGGGAGAATTATGAGAGCAGTTAAAAACCAACTTTCACTTGGGCTGTTCATTGTGGGTCACTTTGAAAACACCCATGATGATCAACCTTGTTTCAGTGACTGTGGTCGCTGGAAGTGTTATAAGTGGTGGTCAGATTGCGCCTTATTTAGTAACATCTGAGAGTGCGCAAAGCTAGTTATCATAACACATTGATGCGTGTTCCACACCGGAGACGTCCTTCCATCTGCCATGTAAGTGCTTGAAACTATTGTCATGACAAAGCATCAGAAACTGCAGTTGTTGCCAGTAGATAATGTTCAGAAGCTCAGAATACCTTGAAGCAAACAAATCAGTCTCCTTACGACTAACATGAGGAGCTTGATGAACAACTTGGCTATTATTCAGTGAGGAATGTAACCAACTGTACTGCAAACCAAATCCTAGAAAGTGTTATAATGGCGTTGTTAAATGCAGAAAGGTTTGTCACTACGAAAACCAGTTAGTCACCAGTTAGTCAGGGATCACTATCAACTACTATAAAAAGTTGATAAGCGTTACATACCTCCGGTACTTGATTTTATAATGACTAAATTTGGAAGGCCTTAACCAAGTAAAACCAGAAACATCAATAAAAGTTGCTGACTGAAGATGGGAGATTGCGTAGGAATTTACAGGGAATCGAACTATTAAGCGTAAACTATGCATTCAGAAAAGCTACGTGCAGCGATTGTCTTCCCCCCGGCCTATGAAGACCTTAACAACTTACGATGTCACCACTATACCTTGTAGTTTCGAACCCTTCCCAATCACTACTTAGTGGTATGATATCTTCATTTAAACACTGCTTATTTACTTCCCTTATTTGTACCATTTTTCTCTTAACCTTTATTGACTGTATCTACCTGGAAATATGTTTATTTTGTCATGTTGTATTTCATTATTTTTGTTATCACAGACGCCCATTCCATCTAAAAAGATCAATCCATGCAACTCCACGTTATACCCTCACCTGTAATGACTGTAAATTAACTGATGTCTAAGTCCAACCCCTTAGCCAGCAATCATTCAAGATGGGAATTCTCTTAAAAGTTTTAAGTCAAGTATTGACTTTTACTGTGAATTCTTTCTAGAGCGCTTCTAACGCTTCTACCCGTAAATGATCGCTGGTTGGAAGACCACCCCTGGCTTTCTACACGTATATCATCTCATTCCCTCACATTTGTGCTCAATGTAGCTTTTCTTGTTACACCTTAGAGGTTCCATACGACTAAAAAAGGGAGGAATTTTAACCCCTTTTTTAATAAGAAAGTCTTAATTCAGAGTCGGTGCCGTAAAAATCGTGTGAGTCGGCTGCTGCTTTTTTTATCAGCATGATGGTAGTCCACAGATGCCGTTCATTACGGTCGAACTTTTATATGTGCCACCAAGATTACGCGTCATGGACTCAAATAGGCATAACTGTTTCATTTACTTGCTTCTTTTAAGTTAGGGGCCGGCTGTTGCGGCACAGTATTCTCACAATCACTTTATCCTTGTTCTTGTACTTGATGGGGGTGAGAAATTACTGTAAGCAACCGAAGTTATGTGGTCGTAGTGAGGCGAGCAGGACCGAGTAAGATCAGAGTGCCCACCACCAGTCCAGCATCAACTGGGGTGACAGCCACTAACATTTACGTACGTTACTGGCGTGTTTCGTACCAGCTTTATGGCTTACAAAACTGGAACTTGGCGAGTACCCATGAAAACGGGAGTTAGCCAAACGACCATCTGTATGTCTGTCTGGCCACCGATGGGCTGTGATGACAGTGATGCGTGACGATCTATTCACTGATTCCTATTTATTCTGCCATTACCATTCGTTTCTATTTATCTCCCTCTACCAAATGTGGCAGACAACTGAATCATCTGACAGACGCTCTGAAGATTACGAAGGTCAGATTTTTCATCGGGTATATATATCAGTTTTCAGCTTGATGCTACTATGGTCTGGACTGAGAATACAACCAACTCTCCATTTCAGACTTGTGAGACCTTAGAGCGATTACCGAACAACACGTGGTTTTCTGTGTGTGGCACAATCGTCAACCCTGTGCCCCAGATAAATGAGTCATCATAATTTCTACTGTTAGAATAACCACAAAAACTTTTGAAACTTAGCTCCAGTGGATTCAATCCCGTAGTTTCATTCATCGGGCACTGTCGGAGCGGCATTTTTCTTTTACTTTGTAGAAGCATAATGATTATTGTTGCTGAGTCAGTTACTAAGGGCGACGTATCACTTAATGTCTCGGAAGCTGCAGATAAGAAGTGACTGATGGGAGAGTTACCTTTTAAACACGCTAACTTAAACTGCATGCCTCATAATCAAAAAGGAATATAAAACGGACAAACGAACTCCTCACATGTGTTTCTCACCATCCCGTTAATGTGTACATCCATGTTATCGGTTTTATTCTGTTAGATTTCGAGTTGGTATAGCATGTGCAGTAGAGACAGAGAGATAGGCGGGTGGAGATATAGTGTTTATTGATACAGAAGTCAGTGAACATCAGCAGAGTATCTAACCTTGCACTGATTTCTCTATTTGTGAGTAGTACCAGAAGTTTCTTCATATAAAGCGTTTTATAATTTCTTGCCTATAGCTCGTCAGGTATTTCTCGGAATCTTAACCATCTTCCAAGGTATCTTCTTCTGTGGCAGTTTTAGTAAGACATTTTACTGCTGTTTCGGCCGATGTACGAATAACTTTCAATAATGATACGTGCTTATAGTCTTCAACCCGAAATCCAGAACAAAAACTAATTGTCTTAAGTGGAATTGTACTAAATGCAAAATCGCCAAAGAAACTACAGGATTTATTGTCCTGTTCTGTGAAAAAACTAATTATATAATACAACTGTATATTTGAAGGTACAATGTAAAGAGTAACAAATACTATTCCCCAGGGAATGTAACCTTATTTGCTACCTAGAGACATGCCTAAGCAGTAAAATCCACACTTGCTCACCACTAGAAAGTCTATAAGCAGCTGAGTGAACAACTTCACCGAACATAGACGTCACTACCTGTAAGGTTTATATTTTTGATCAACTTGCAGGCTCTGTCGTAACAGACCATGGCCTTCCTTTTATTTTGACCTTCGTTTTTCACTGAGTGTAATGTGGCCATATGACCACACTTGTTATTCGAGATGGCGAGGCGTGGCAACAGCCAAACAATTAGTATCACCCCACTGTCGTCTATCGTAATTTCCATGTGATTTTTATGTAAACAAATCAATGAGGACAGACTTTATGTGCCTGTTGTGTTTTCGTATATGTATATGTATATGTATATGTATGTATATGTATATGTATATGTATATGTAAACTTTATTCACTAGTCCGTTTTTTCCCCACATAATTATTGTTCGGCCCGCTTTTTCGAGTTCAGAAGACAACCATTTCTGTGTTCATCACCACTGCATGAATGCGCTATTTTTTATATTATGTCTGGCCTCACAATTTAGGCAGCTCCTCTTCCCAGACCGTGTTGACCTATCTTGGCATCCGCCCACGATTTTTTCTCTACATCCTGTATATCCCCTTCACCCAGGACAGCGCATCAGACTATATCCCTTTGTAGTCGCCGCCAAGTTTTGCGGTGCACCTTATCCAGTTGGTCTGACGATACTATACACTCAGACAATGGGCGTATTGATAGCACAAGAAAGGAGAGCGAATTGGCGTCCACCCTTGCCCAGACGTTTACCCATTAAAACAAAAATTCAAACACTTTAGGCACCCACGACCAGGCTGAATATTTACTTAGTTAAAAGTAAGTTGACACTTAAGCCCTGGCTTCATTTAGTGCCGGACAAGGCTCACTTAAATCGTATTATTTTGATTAAGAGCGGCAGATTGTTCTTCAAACGCCATCAGAAAATAATTATCCGCCAGTATTTGTGTCAGCCACGTCTCCTAAATCGTTAATGCCCAGCTCTTGCTGCACTCGGGCTCACGCTGTTCCTTGAAGTTTCTCAGAAATGCTTAGTAATAACGGACGAAAAAACCAAAACACCAATTGGCCACTCGAGGATTCTTTATTGTAACACCAACATACAAACAATGTTACAACTAAGGTCTGTGAACAAATACTACAATAATAAATCACAATATTACTTCTGACGGTTTTCTGCTGGCTTCTTTCTGAACAGCGACCGATGAGACGATGACTGTCGTATTGATGCCTCCGCGAAAATTAGGGAAGTTGATTTTGAGCAAACAACCATGAATTGATCGTTCAATCTTCAACTACACTGACAATTTGCTTTTATAATCTTCTTTTGCTTTAAACTTCGGAAATGTTATCCATACCAATGATCAGAGTTGTTGTTTATAACTACAAGTGACTTGCACCTCAAGACATTTGGAAAGTTATTATTTGTTGCAATCCTAATCTTGAATTGAAACTTATGTGGCAGTTATGCTGGGTCAGTCAAGTAGCTCGTTGTCCCTTCGTAAAAATTCCAAATCATTATCAGAAACTCCTTGG